AACCAGAATTCAGGTCCACATGACTCCTGAGTCTGCATCGTTTTGACTTTGTTTCTTGACGTTTGCCCAAGAGTCAATTTGCCTACTCCCCCATACACTAGCCTACAAGTACTACACCCAGGTGCCTAACCAGAAAGTATGCGTTTGTCCTTCTAGGGTGTTGAGGTCCAGCTCAGCGCAGCGTGAAGAATGCACGTCAGTCTCTGTACAAGGCCGAGCATCCCAACACCAGCCGAGAACCTGAAAAACAAACCCTGAATCTAGAACTTTAGCCCCTAAGACATAAGGCTGAAACCTGACCCCAAACCCCTGCTAATGTTCTAAACAGCTTAGATGCTAAGTCCTTCTGCTCTGCATTCGCATCTTCACCCTGCAGGGCTTAGAGTTTAGAGCTCGGATCATGCGCCGGGGTGCCAGATTCCAGGTACATTTTTGAACGATTTCGTGGAGGATGAGGGGATTTGGAAAGTAATGAGTACAGGACTGAGTACACGAATTGCCATAACCCGTGTTACGAAGTCCAATGTTCCAAAACACAAATGTTAATCTGTCGAAAATGGATGTATGGCTCAGCCTTTAGGATCATTAACCCTGAATCCAAAAAATCTGTATAATACCCCTCGGCGAAATCCCTACGATAAGTTAGGGACTTTTCCCCTCAAATATTGGGCCTATGATAATCCATGCGGTTTAGATTTCGGAGTTGAGGACCTTATATATAGTATAAGTGCCAGGATATTTCCTGTTCAGGGCCAAGGTGACAATGACTTCTTACAACGCACCTCACAACACCATTCATTCTCTTCACAGGCCTAGTTGTTGTATTGTGCGACAAGACATGGAAGCATTCGCGTGCAATCCATGTCTCCGACACTGACGTAGAAGACGTAGAAGTAGACATCTCAGCCGCCGCACTCCACCGCACACCAACACCACAACCACCATACTCCACACTCCACACTCCACCACACACCCCACACTGCTACGCATGCACTCACGGAGACAGCGATCGATCCAGATCCACGGCGCTCTCCCAAACTCGCGCGCTTCAGAGAATGCGTGCTCATACAAACCGTGTTCTATAACGCAACGACCGCGCATCTATAGGTAAAACGTAACTCGACCGGGGTTGGACCGGTTCTTTATTGTTAAAGAAGGTAAAATTGCATCCGCAAAAAGGGCTGTGCTGGGAATTGAGCCCAAGACCTCTCACACCCTGAGCGAGACTGGGCGCCGTGCCTCTGAAGAGCACAATATTGGTTCTCTAAGTGTGTGGAAAAACAGGAAAGAAGGAATGAAAGAGGCAAGCCTGACCCTACAGAGAAAAGCTCAAAGAAAGATCACGTGCAAGGACTAAGAAAAAGGAAAATTTCGAGGCCGGACTCGAACCCGCAATCTACTCCTTAGGAGGGAGGCGCCTTGTCCATTAGGCCACACGAGCTTCAAGGGCATGTGTCACAACGAAAAATGCCAACTCTGAACAACCAAGAGGTTCCTTGAATTGCAATTCTTCAAGTGCCATCGAGGAAGGGCGTCTTGAAAGAACCGAGGAGAACATGTTCCAAGCCAAGAAACTCAAGCCTGGCTACGCTAGCTTTCGCTTTACAAAGAAGGATGAATCTGTTGGGAGAAGTTGTTGTGCGGGGTGTGTATCTGTGGGTGTAGGTGTGGTGTCGGCTGGTGCGTGGTGTGCAAGTGCGGGGTGCGTGATGTGCGGTGGATTGCGGTGGTGTGGACATGATATGGTGCATGTGTGGTGTATGCATGCTGTGGTGCAGCGTGGTGTATACATGTGTTGTGGCGCAGGCGTAGTACGTGCGGACTGTGGTGCAGGTGTGGTGTATACAGTGTGTGCGTGGTGTGGTGTGTCGTGGTGTGGTGTACTCATGGTCTGGTGAATGTGTGGTCTATACGTGGTGTGCAGTGTTGCGTATGCATTTTGCGGTGTGCATATGGTGTGCTGAGCGTATGTGTGGCGGGGATGTGGGGGTGCGGTGGGTTTGGATGTCTGCGTGGTGTTGTGATGTTGAATGGTCCCCACATGGTGCGGCGTGATGCGTGTGTGATGCGATGCGTGTGATGCGATGCGAGTGTGATGCCATGCCAGTGTGATGCGATGTGTGTGTGTGTGTGTGATGCGTGTGCGCGTGTGTGTGTGTGATGCGTGTGATGCGTGTGCGCGTGTGTGCGCGTGTGTGCGTGTGTGCGTGTGTGCGCGTGTGGGCGTGTGGGCGTGTGTGCGTGTGTGCGTGTGTGCGTGTGTGCGTGTGTGCGTGTGTGCGTGTGCGCGTGCGCGTGCGCGTGTGCGCGTGCGCGTGCGCGTGCGCGTGTGCGTGTGCGTGTGCGTGTGCGTGTGCGTGTGCGTGTGCGTGTGCGTGTGCGTGTGCGTGTGGGTGTGCGTGTGTGTGTGTGTGTGTGTGTGTGTGTGTGTGTGTGTGTGTGTGTGTGTGTGTGTGTGTGTGTGTGTGTGTGTGTGTGTGTGGTGTGTGGTGTGTGTGTGTGTGTGTGTGTGTGTGTGAGATGCGTGTGCGTGTGCGGGTGTGTGTGTGTGTGTGTGTGTGTGTGTGTGTGTGATATGCATGTGTATGATGCGTGTGTGTGTGTGTGTGTGTGTGTACTCCTGGGTTCCAGGGATTTTTTGGCCAATCATAAAGCGGGGGCCAGCACTCCCCCGGGGGGTCGCTGGTCAACGAAGACGCCCCCAGGGAGGGTGAAAACGCACCTGCTTGCAACATCTAGCTAAGTCCTCCAGGGGTGTGAAAGTGTGTTCTCGACCGGCATTCTGTCAAAGGGCCGGGCGTAGCTCTGAGTGTCGATACTTGAGGAGTGATTTTCCGAACTGCAGAACTCTTCCAGCTTTGTGCTTGCGACATCGCCGCAGCCAACTGCTGAGGGATCAATCTGAACATCCTTTAACTTGACGCTTCCATAACTTGAGTCTTCCATCAGAGATTACTGCTGTTGTTTCTAACAGCGCTCCGAAGACTGTGATCCTACATCATGTCGCGGTGGCGAGATGCCGAATCATGGCGGAACCGACAGTCTTGGGAAGAACGCGAGTCCTTCCTGTGTGGTGCCTGTGTGTGTGTCCGCCTTGTGTGCTGCACATGATCAAGCACTTGCTTACTTAAGCATTTTGAGCTTCAGTTCCGTTTCAGCCAATTTCCCCGCAACGACGGTTGATTTCTGCACCTGTTCGCACTACATGAGCCTTTGTACGGAATGTATACTAATATCTACATGAAAAAAGATCACGTGAACTTGTTGGTCGTGACACAACAGACCAAGCAACCTCTTTTGCTTTGCCCCACACGGTCGACATGCCTGATCATGTCGTTGTGGTTCCTGATTCCGGCAGTGCAGATACATTGAAATATATTGAAATCATATAGTACTAAGCTTCCAGTATTAAGCCAGAGTGCCTAACAAGTTGTGCTCACCTGCCTGGCATGACTCGTTCAATCAGTATCTCCTTGAACTGCAACTGCAACTCCTCAATATGCGCCTTTTCCATTCATCGTTCGATAATGCAGACCGTAACGCCGCACGCTGGCTTGTGAGAGCTCTGGCTGTGATACAAGCCACATGTCTGAAGACGGTTGGGAAGGTTGGGAGAGGGAATGCTTAGGGACCTCGAGCCTCTCCGGGGCCTTTACAGCAATCCCTCTCTTGATTCGGACCCTTCCGGGGGTTCCGGAGCTTTGCCGGAACCTCCGGGCTTTGTTTGGGACCTCAAAGAATCGGAAATGGACACCTGATGCATTTGATCGGACATATGGGCCTTATGGGGTATGGGATGGTTTAGGATTCAAGATGGTGGTGTATGCGAAGCTTGTGCCCTACTTCACAGCTGTACGTACACTAGGTAAGGAGTTACAGGTAAGGAGCTGCGTGCCACACTCCACGGCTTGTGAGAGCTCTCGCGAGCCACGCGCTTGTCTGAATAGTTTGCTATCGCAAAAGAATCTACTTCCAGAAGCGACCCCGCCACTAGTCTCTACCGGAAACATCCTGAAAGGCAACTGGTTTCACGGCTATAGCCTGCGAGACTTCCTGTGAGTATCAGTGCTTTCTTGCAGTGGCCTTCCAAAGACAACTAAAGAGAGGGTTTGCTGTTTCCTCCAGCCTCTGTGAGGCGATGAAGGGAGTGGCATCTTGTACAGGCGGCAAGGCACCCCACAGTCTTGGCGAGGCCATCCGGTGCGACCCCTGAATCCAGCATATCCATCTTTCCGTATCATGACAGAAGCTGGAATTTACGGTCCTACTCCTCTCCAATAGCATTGGCTCCTGTTTGGTCTCGGGGTCTCACGCGCCCTGCAGCAGCTTCATACCTCGGTCCGCAACAGCAGGATAACCAAAACCAACGCTACCGGCAACCCTTCTCAGTTTCACCTGGCAGGAACACCCGGCAAAACAGTGATAGACCGCGGGTCGCTCTTCGCAGCAGAAGAAAGAAACAGGTAACAAAAGGCACTTGTGGGGAACCGGGACACCCACTTCCACAATGTCTGGAACAATTCGGTTCACATCTTCCTCCTCTTCCTTGGAAGTGTTTCAGACTGGAGATGGATAGGGTTCCATGGGAGCCCAAGTGCTTCAAGGCAAACAAAACCCGATGACTTGACCCAGGCTTAGGATAGGCTTAGGCCTGACGGAGTCTTCCTTGCAACCTATGAAGTCGTGAAATCTTCTGGGCACGTCTTGGAATTCAGCTCAGGCCACGTTGTGCCCGGTCCGAGCAAAGAACTGCGGGGGGATTGTCCCGAGCTGCTGCATCACGATCCTTTGCGCTGGCCAGCTATTGGTAGTTTGATGGACAGTGCGAGGGCTGAACAAAGACTGCATGACATTGTGCGGCCATGCGGTTTGGACAGGCTTTTAAAAACCTTTACAGCTAGATTCGTGTTGCCAATCTCACTGCAGCCACCTCTGAGGTATACACAACATTACACAATCAACATCGGAACTTCATGTAATGCACAGCGCATCCGAGGATCTCTGCATCTTTGAATGCCGATTGCACTTGAACGGGCCCCGGAACCCACAGCTTGTCGAAGTGCGGAGGCTCCTGCATCTGGTGGAGGTCGATGCTCGCCACGTCTAGCCTGTTGGCTCCTCTGTGCTTCAGGACCAGGAAGGAGCCCTCCAAGAGATGAAGAGCACACCAATAGAACGTGGACTTGCCTCTTCCACTGCCAGGGATGCGACCCTCTTCAAAAGCACAAGAAAAAACCTTCGGGGCATTTGTATAGCGTGCTTTCAAAAGCTTTCAACATTTTCGAGCTCCGATGAGCTCCCCAAGCCCTGAGATGAAGAATTCAAACCAGGCCACCCGGTGCCCAGGTGAGGCAAAGCCAGTGGGAGAGATCTCCAAGCTGGATGCACAAGAAGACTTCTTGCCAACAGCCATCATACAGCCTGGATGCCAAAGTTTTGCCAAAGTCCCCAAAACAAGCAAAACAAGCAAAACACCAAAGGTTGATGTCCCGAGGTTTTCAAACCTCAACATATTCAACATGACTCCCTCTGACGAGCCAGGGCAACACTGCCGCGAACTTGCCAGCTTCTGGTAGGACAACTTCCCTGTTGACGTCATGGCAGTGTCGCAGCCACGGCTCTTGTCCACCAGCCATGCAATAGGCGGAGGCAGGGATTTTGCCGAGGCTTTGGAGAACTTCCGAGCCGTCCTTCAGTGCACAAGATATACATTATGTACAATATGTACATTTCTTTGCATGCAACTTTCATACAACCATCAGTCCATCTCTAGCCACGGTAACCCCTCAAACCCCTCGGTCATGCCTCGACCTCGACCATGGCGGTGTATTGCGAGAGAGTTCTTCCCGAGAAAAGACAGGGTGGGGGAGGGGTGGCCACCACCCCCACTGATGCTCGCGTGCGTGTACTCACGCTGTCATATCTTTGAACAAAAAAAGATGCACGCGTGAACACCAAATCCAAAAGAATGTTGAGTCCGAGCTTGGGAAACGTCGATCCTGAACCGTCAATCCAAGCGTACTGCTGTTAACTTTGCTTGGCGTTTGCGCCCGTACTTCAAGTTCAAGAGCCATTAAAGATACTGGACAGTTCATGAACTTGAACAGCAGCTCAGGCTCAGGTGCACCCAGAGGGGGACATGTACAAATGAGGCCATAAGGACACAGGGATTCCCACACGCTTAAGGACACAGGGATTCCCACACGCTTGGCCCAAAGTGCAACCAATCCCGCTAGATGTCGGGCTCAAATCCGGAGCTCCCCCTAGACCAGAGGCCCTTCAGGACCAGAGGACAGGGTCACTTTATTCTCGCTTTATTCACACTTCCTGTCTCACTTCATTTTCACTTTTTTCTCACATTGGTTTCTCAGTCTCTCCGTCTTAACAGAGACCGGATTTCCTAATCATGAGCAAGCGCTCATTGCGCGGCAAGGTTGAGATTGAATGTGAGTCTTTATATGGGACGGCTCAGATTGAAACAGCGTATGGCCGCTACTTATGGTCCGGACGCGGGTTCTGTTCTTCGAGGCATCAGGGGCGATGGGCCTGCATGAGGATCCTTCTCGGAGCCTTCCAAAGCTGCATTGTCGTTTCCAGGGCGCTGTGCTAGGCTTTCCCGCAGCTTTGGGATGGACGGGGGTGCTCTCGGACAAGAGGGCTTCGTACGGCTTCCTTGTGTATGCCCATGAGAGTCCTTGAGTACCGTGAGGACGTGAGAGGTGATGGGAAGAGTGCCTTGAGCGAGAGGGAGCACGCAAGAGTCCTTGTGAATTGCGGCGAGATCAGCTGGAACCCAAGGTTCGCAGCGGTCGAGACCACTGCTGCTGCACATCCACCAAACCTAAGGAGGATCTGGAGGCTCTGAAAAATCTTAGCGTTCCATAAAGGATGTTCAAGTAGCAAATAGGACATAAGTCTCGAATCAGCTCCAGGAGCGTCTTGCTCACGGAGTATTGGGTATGAACGGTCCGTCCCGGACGTGCTGGCTTTCAAGTAGTAGCCTGGCGTGACGCAGGACGCACGCTAACTCAACGACTGCACAAAGAAGGCCCTGGAACCCACATAGCCTGGCTCCAAGCGCACCAGGGTCCACAATGGAGCATTGGAGCAAGTCGTCGTGAGAGCCAGCCAATGCTTACCGTCTGGCTCCGTCGGGTGGAACAGAAACACTTCCTGCCAATCACCACCCAACCTTCGTTTTGCTCTAGAAGCATTAGCACACCCAAAACCTACACGGTGCGACGAAGTGCGGCAAACCAGTTCCTTAAGTTAGCGTCAACCGGGGAGGCATCTATCGATGTTTGCTAGGTTTCTGAAGAAAATCCGAGCGACTGAACAACGAGGAAGGCACCACTTTCAGGCTTTGCAGGCGGCAGGAAGGTCGTAATGGGCTGGAGGATGGATGCCGAGCCTCCCGCAAGCATCACGGCGGTTTCCGGCACGTCAGCCAAATGGGCAGAGGTGCGCGCGGCGTGATCTACGATATCTTGGCGCTCCTTAGGTCCCGGAGACCACAGCAGGTTGTGCTTCTTTCCCGCGCACATCCAATTCACCTGTCACAGCTCGCATCACGTTCTACAAAGCTCTGTGAGAGATCACAATAATTTTAAGAAATCTCCACCTGCTCGTCTGACAGCCCAGGATATGATCGAGCTTTGCCTCGCCACTGAGCAGGCAACACCAACAGAGGCAGTACATGAGCTTAAAGGATCCCAAGTGCTAAATTTCTGTAGAGATAAGCTCTTAAAAGATCTTGAAAGGGAGTCTGAGGATGATTGTCGGCTGACTTTAGTTCACATGATGCTGCATGATTTGAAGCTTTGTGCTGAGGACTAGCCGTCCCCAGCATCTAAACCATGCCACGGCAGCACAAGAGCCGACGTTGATGATGACAAAATATCGCGAAATGACAGGACTTCTTGCACCATGAAGATATCACAGCGCTAAGAGAACGTCATATCCCAAAAATCCTGGTCCGAGTTGCCCACTGAGCTTGCGCAGATTGTGCCTTGCTGCGACAATTCCACCGCCGTCCACATAAAGCATGCTGTGAACTCCTTCAGAGAGGTCTAGGCCGATCTAGGCCACTTGTTGGAGGGCAATGAATATTGCGTTCCGAGGCTAATGATTTAGCTGTCGTTGCCTGCCTTGAACACAGTGGGATGCAAGATGTCAACAACAGTTGAGACGCTTTTCTAAGGAAGCTCGAGCATCGTGGTAAGTTGTGTAGCATAGCCAACGCTTACCATCCCCTTTGGGGAGAGGCGCGCCGAGGAAGACCTGGGAATTGTTCTTCTTAAAGCCAAAGGAGGTGTATCGGGTCTTCCTCGAAAATAACGGCCCTAACCAGCCACCTAAACCAAAAAAACCATAGTTTTCGTCTAGCCCGCACTTCTGACAGAGTACGCAAAGTCCCAAACAAGGTGCAAGAGCCGCTTCCTTCAGGCAAGAGTGAGGCACCTTATGATTTACGGGTGAAGAGATTGATAACTTGATATTTCACCGGCTTAGAACAGACAGATCCAAGAGACTTCATGCCAATCACCACCACTTGCAATCGCGACAAACTTGCCAGCTTCAACCATGGACGTCTTGCCGTCTCGCTCGGCTCGAATGGAACTGCTCAATGGCGGTCTATTTGAGGGCTGAGTGAAACAACTCGTAAGAATCAATTGCACGCAGTGCAACTGGACTACTACCCTCCTAGATTCGATGTGCTTGCCTGCAGCTGGCTTGGGGGAGTCCTGAATTTTCGCCGTGCGCAAGAAGAGCGGAAATAGCAACGTGCCGGGTCGTTGTGGCCCTGACACAATGAGGCCATGGAGGCCGTGACACGAGCTGTTGGCTTAATCTTGCAAGGCCTGATGCTGCTAGGCTTGCGGCTGCTACAATCCAAATGCAAAGTGTTTAACATCATTGCACTACAATGTTGGGTGGAATTTATTCTGAAAATGTGCTTCTCCTTTTCTTTCTTCCTTCCTTCGTTTCCTTCTTGCTTCTTTGCCGTTCCTTCCTTCCCCCCTCTCCCTCCCGAATCTATTGCAAGCTAGAGTAGGCAGAAGGCTTTCTCAGTCTGTTTAAAGTAGGCGGACGAGGTTGTGTTTGCCATGACAATATAGAGTATAGAGGAAATGGTGGTCCTCCTCTGGAGTTCTCCTCTGGCGATCTAGAGGAAACAAGCCTAGAAACCTTTCAGTAAACACCGAACACAGGACACCCGAAAACTAGCACCAGCACTTTTCCGAAAAACTGTTATTTAGCAGATGGCTACTCAGGTCTTGCATCTAGCAGCATGCACACGCGGGCACTTTGGCCCCCAAAGTATTCGTAAACGAATCTCAACTTCTATTTCAGGATCTACGTCGCTGTCACTCCAGGCCACGGGGAGCCTCAGCGATGCGCACCACGTACTGGCACGGTACAAGTTTAGAGAGCGGGTTCAGAAGTTCTGGGAGGACCACAATGAGGATCCAAGTAAAGCATCCCATTTCCCAACTTTTCATGTCCTTCATACTCTTCATACTATTCGGGGTTCCTCTTTGCTTCTCAGGGAGTTGAGGTCTCTCGTCTTAGAAGTCCCTAACATGGCACTCAGGAAAATCCACGATTCCACGATGGAAAATGAATCCCAGAAACCAGCATGGAAGTTTACGTAGGGTCAGAGTCGGATCCCCTTCTGCTTTGAAACTTCCAGGCTTCAGGGCTGCACTTCCATTCCCCTGTATTCCATTCTCCGCTCTTATTCCACCTTCGACTTTTTTATATTTAGGCGGCCTCGGGGTTGCAGCCTTCCGATGTTAGATCAACAAAACACTCGAAACACCTGCACCTTTCTTTGAACCCTTTCGTGAAAAGAGGCTGAGACCCTTCATTGAACCTTTAAACTTGAAGATGCTGCTGCTTTAAAACCCTTTTAGGCCTGAATGTATTCAATCCTACAGAGCCTACATAAACCATCAACCATCCCTTTTAAGCTCGCCCTGAACGGAATGTACCTCGAAGCATTGTCTCTCACGCTACGAGCCTGAACTCTGAGCACTGACATGAACTGACACTTCAGCCTCCTGCGCCCACTACCCACGACCCTGCTCCCTAAAGGCCTTTAAAAACTGGGCTGCCCACGGAGGGTTAGCACTGAACGAATATCCTGGATTCCGTCGAGCCTGCAGCGCTCAGCTTTCAGGATCTCAAGGGATCTGAGGCTTCCGAGTGTCTTAAAACAGGCCCCGAAGGCAGTCCGAATGTGCTACTAACTAAGCATGCAAGAAACCGAGCCGCGGCCACTCAACCTGCTTACTGCCTTTCCTACCCATCTCCCTCAATGGCAAGGCGTCTCACTATAGACAAGCTGTGGCCAATGCTGCAGGATCTGTCTTGCCAGGGTGAGCTCTACTTGCCCAATTCGTGCCGGGAGGAATAGGCTGAGGAACGGTGGCAGATTTCCCGTTGACACAGTGGCTGCTGCTGGCGACTCCTCGGCGCACAATCGCAATGGCTGCAGTTCGCACCCTTAAAGAAGCTCCAAGCCCCAAGTCAAGAAGCTCATGAGGCCAAAGTCTCGGTGCTCGTTTGCGAGTCCAAGAAACCTTTAACTGTAAAACTAACCTATAATCTGTCTTAGTCAATCTTTCTTCATCTTTCTTCATCTTTCTTCATCCTTCTTCATCTTTCTATCCTTTTTTCTACCACAACATTCCCCAACTGTGAGTCCGTAAATCCATGCCGTATTCCCCACGTCGTTTTGCGGCCTGAGATGGCCTGAGAGTCTGTGCCGCTAGCTTTGCTCTACGTTGCTGTACGAGCCTTATTGATATACGATGTAAGCTACGCAGGTGAGCCAAATATTGCTGAATGTGCTCAATGAGTTCACACATGCACTGCAAAGGTCTTGAATGGTCTTGAATCGTCTTGAACTCCAGACGCTAAACACAAGATTTTTCCATTCCCAGGCCACTGCCCCAGGCTGTCAACCTACACCGCCCGCGTACGAGCTCTCCGAAGCCCGAAGTTTGCCGCGCCTTCAACCTCAGATCCTTACAGCCGAAATCTCACATTCCCAAATGCAAAAAAGGGAACGGCCGAAATGCCGTACGCCCCAAATCTAGACCTGAGATCTCTGTAAAACCTAGACCCGTAAAGCCTGAAACCAGGCCTCATTCCCTAACTCTGAGATTCTTTTTGAACCGGAAGCCCAAAAACACCTCAAACCTGACATCCTTGAGGGAGAGGTTCTGACCACAGCCTGCCCGCTTCGCAGAGTCTCCTCTGAACTTCATCACCTGAAGTCTTTGAACGGAAGCGGAGCACTTTCAATGTTTTCAACAACAAAGCTTGGAATGGAATAACTGTTGACATCATGCTGCAGACAGATTGCTTTTGCACCCTTGTTCGACCCTCCAACACGAGCTAGTACCTGATCTTAACAGCATCTTAACAGCTGCAGTTCTGAAGCGGCTCTCAATATTCCTCAAATGTCCCACATGCACCTGTGACCATCACGTAATAAAAACGCCTCGGGCAAGTAAACAACTCGGATGAGAGGTTCGGAGGCAGCATTGTGAGGTTGGCACGAGGGGTTTAGGAAGGGTTGATCGGCTCCTCTTGCTACAAGCTGGATATAGGTCAACGACAACAACTGAACTCTGCCCAGGAAGAAACACGTCATCTTAGCTTCGGTTTTTCTACAAAATTCCCTTGCAGCTGCCTCCACAGACCAAGGACATACAAGGACCCTTGTTGGACTTGTCGCCAGGCTTCCACGTTTCAAGCCCATTGTAGTTCGAGCCAGGAGGCTGGGACACCACAATGTGTTCCCGAAAAGGGTACGAAGCCACCTGCAAGTCGGGTAGAAACTCTGACTGCCGTGCAGCCGCAGAAGTAGCTTTCCGAGAAGCCAATTTTCTGAAGGAGCTCTCGCGATCGGAGTGTGGATTACGTGCCATTTCAGCAGGATTACGCAAGTGCCGACAAACACAGCAAAGAATGAGAATCAGTGACCTGCGCGCACCCACACCATGAGCAGCAGGGGCTTGGGTCTGGGAGCCAAAAAGCCGCCAAGCAGCCCCTTTCAGCCCTTTAACCGCTACACTTACGCCCTTCAACCCCCAAGCCGCAAGCAAACCACCGAAACCAACACCCCTCGACCCTGAACCTTTCAACATGTTCGTAAAACCTTAAACCACCACACGCCAACATCCCGAATGTCCGTGACCTAAACACCCCCTAAGCCCGAAAACCATGAAACCGCTGCCCCTAAACCGTTGCAGCCTGATGCGGAGGGGTCGAGGGGTTCGAGGCCCTCGCTTAGCATTTAAGTTTAGGGCTTGAGCGGTCAGGGTTTTGGGTTCAGGGGCTGAGGGGTCGAATGCTCGGACTGGCTCTGGAAGCAGCCGCCGTCTAAGCATACTGCGTATCACTGCGTGCTTCCCCTCCACCCCCCCCCAGTAGCCGAAAAAGGAAGCTCAAGTAAGGTATCAAGGTGTCTAGTCTGTATCGAACCGAAAGTCATCAAACCACAAACTATCAAAAACTTGAAGGCCTCCGGTCTGTCTCGGCCGAAAAAAAGAACCTCAAGGTTTCTTGTCTGTATCGGCGTCAAGGTATCTGGTCTTGAAGGTCTCCGGTCTGTAGCCTCAAGGAATCTTGTCTTTATCGGCGTCAAGGTATCTGGTCTGTAAGTAACCAAAAACCAAGGACTTGCTAGAAAAAACAAAAAAGTAACGTCAAAGTAGCCGGTCAGTATCGGCCAAACAGGCACGTCAAGGTATCTGGCCTGTATCGGCATCAACCACGGACTTGAAGGTCTCCGGTCTGTATAAGCCAAAACATGCAAGCAAAGAAAAAATAGCTCAACGTCAAAGTATCCAGTCTGTATCGGCCGAAAAGGAACCTGAAGGTATCTGACTTGCATCGGCCCAAAAGCAACCGAAAAACCAAGGACTTGAGGGTCTCCGGTCTGCATCGGCCCAAAAATGCAAAAAGTAATAGCCGGTCTGTGTCGGCCCAAAATGGAACCTCAAGATATCTGGCCGGTATCGAAGTCAAGGTACCAACAAACGAGCCGGTAGCACGTGTTGTTGCGCTCTGAGGTCGGCTTGCCAGGGATCGCAAGTCTTATCAAAAGAGCAATCCAAGAGCATCCGCTTTTTGGAAGGGTCCTCAACGGGCTAAGGGTTCCCCATGCCCCTACCTAACATACTTAAACCCAGACCTCGAGAGCGTGGGGGGGTGAGCAGATTTCGGGCAGCCAAACCAGACCTTTACGGGGAGGCAGGCCCCAGACGGGGAGGCAGGCCCCCAGGCCCCACCCCCGAAACACTTAAAACGGCCGACTTAAGTTTAAGGGACAACTATTTGCATTCTCTACAGTAGAGCTCCCTCTACCCCGGCATTCAAGACCATTCAACCCCACTCAAGCCCACATGCACACAATGCAAACACCACGCAAGGTAAGGTGAAATTAAACATGTTACGTCTGGGTGGACCGGGAGCCCCAGGCCCTGTCCCATCCTACCCTCTTCCACAGGCCGCACAAAAGCTCTGGTTGCAAACAAGGGAAATTTCTCGGTAGCAAACAAGTAACAAACATTTGCATCTAGGAGCATGACATCCTCCCCCCCTCCCCCCCTCACCCCCCTCCTCCCCTGCCTCCCCAATTCTGCATTACTGACCTCATGGCGGTTCACTCATGGCTTGGAAATTAACGTGAATACTCGCATGGGCTCGCCTGCACACCCTAAGCCCTGAGCAGCTCCATGCTTAAGTTTAGCAGCTGCCACGCCATTGTTGAAGATGGGGACCACTCAGACAAGATGATCTTCAATGTAGACGTTCTGACAAGTTTCCCGGCTCCGGGCCACAGTTTGGTCGGCCCCTAGTTTGCCAAAAAAACCACATGGTATTTGTTTTGCGGCCAAACCCGATCCTTGAAGTGGCTGACCAAGGGAGTCAGGTCCGTAGAAGCGTCAAGTGGGGGTGATCAGAGAGCTGTGGAAATGTCGGGTAGCAGATTGTACCACGCATCGCGCCGTGAAGGAGTCGGCGACACTGGCGTTAACAACCACTGTTGGTGAGAGTATATATGATTGTATGATGTATTTTCTGGGGATACTAGACATAAAGACCTTAATGCTGTACGAACTAGGGCCTCGACACCGAGTTTGTTCCTGCTGCACGTCTCTAGGCGCACTTTGGGGTTGCAGGTTCCCGCATGTGCCCGCCTGACATTCGGCGAAGGCAGAAGCCGGGATGATGCCCGCCGATTCTGGGTCGGGGACACTTGAACATCTCATTTCCACGTAGGAGTGTAGGAGCATACTATGAACTAGCAAGCGTACAGAGTATAGACGTATAGACATGCAAGTGTCAAAAGCTAGAACTTTTGTTTTGATGCCTGTCCTTATGAAGCCTTGAAATCCCCGAACCAATTGCGCAGGATGGAAGACCCTCAGGCATCGCAGTCCATGGTAATCCAATCGCAGCCCGGTGATCCTGGTCGCGGCCCTCCACGTTCAAGAACACGCCTGACTGGAAGTCCTTTGCTCTGCAAGGTTGCAAAATGATTGGGGCCGGGGATTTCGGAATGAGGATCTAGAATAGGTGCCGGAGAGCTTCAAAAGCAAAGGTGCTGTGGGCACCGTTCTGGCCATTTATGGCCATTTCATGTTCCAGATCCCGGAAGCCACTGCCCAGTACAGATATGAGGTGTCACCACATGTCACAACTCCCGCACCGCAGTTTGCAACATGCTTGCAACATGCTTGCAAAGCGAAGAGGACACGATCGGGTCTTTGCAACCTAAAACTCACAATGGAGCGACGGAATCGAAGATTCAACGAGTGGTTGGGGACAGCCCCAGCTGCATAGGTGCGCAAACCGCCCAAGCTGCCCCGCCCTCTCCAACAACAAGCCTGTTCAACTCCAAGCCTATTTCTCTCAAGGCCGAAAACCCCTGAACAAACCTCTCACACATGTCGCAACTCAACCCAAGACCTCCGGAATCAAGCCTTAAACTTGGTGGAAATGTGTCCACCAGCAGCCAGCGAAATGACTGGGTGGAACCCGCACCGCAGCAAACCCAAACTGGAGAGCTGTTCACCTGGGCAGCGCCATGGAAAGGCTCAAGGGGTTGTGATTTAAGGTTCTTTGCAGCCGCCACCCGCATCCCAAGCTCTTTCTGTGGCAATTGTTGGCGCGCAGGCGCAGTTTTCATCTTTTAAGGTGTAAGAATGTACGGTCTGGTTCAAGTCTCAGGGATTTTGCAAGGATCATGACTGCTATCTGAGCGAGAGGATCAACTGAAAAGTCTTGAAAGTCCCATTTCAGAGCGCCCTATCTCAGATGCTAGTCTGAGGCATCGCACACCGAAAACTTGCGCTCAACCAACAGAAAACCAACAAAAACCACTAGAAAACCAATAAAAACAAATAGAAACCAATAAAAAACCATTAGCAAACCAATAAAAAACAATAAAACTAAAAAAACAGTAGGGAACCAATTGAAAACCAATAGAAACCAATAAAAACCAATAAACACCAATAGAAAACCAATAGCAAACCAAGAGAAAGCCAATAATTCTACTGGTTTTCATTGGTGGTTTTATGTGTTTCTTGTTGGTTTCCTATTCGTTTTTATTGGTTTTCTAGTGGTTTTTATCTGTTTTCTATTGGTTTTTATTGTTTACCTGCTGGTTTTTATTGGTTTCTACTGGTTTTCTGTTGGTTTTTATTGGTTTGCTATTGTTTTTTTTTGGCTTTCTGTTGTTGTTTATTGGTTTTTGTTGGTTTTCTATTGGCTTACTGGTTTTTATTGGTTTAGGGTTGGATTCCTATTGTTTTTTAATTGTTTTCTATTGTTTTTTTTTGTTGTTTTTTGGTTGTTGTTGGTTTTCCATTGGTTTGTATTGGTTTTTGTTGGTGTTCTATTGGTTTTCTAATTGGTGTTTTTTGGCATTCTATTGGTTTTTATTGGTTTTCTTTTGGTTGTATTGGTTTTTCTTGGCTTTCTATTGGTTTATATTGTTTTTTTTGTCTTTTATTGGTTTTCTATTGGTTTTGTGGGTCTTTATTGGTTTTATTGGTCTTTATTGGTTTTCTGTTGGTTTTTGGGGGTGGAGGGGGGGGAACGCAAGCTGACAAGCAGGCCGATCCCCGAAGCCGGGACCCCACACCAGCTGAGCACCAGGTAGAAGAAACGTGAAGTAGGGTGTAGGATGTCATTAGGATTCAGGTGAGAGTTGCGGGTCGTAGAGACATGTTTTTGATCCAGCTTCAGTTGGGCAAGTGGCGTCGAAGCTTTGCCCTCCTACCTCGACACAGGCTCTCAGAGCTCATCCTAGCACACGAGCATACCGCACCCGGACCCCCAGAATCCTCGCCGTCAGACAACTTGTTCCAGCCAAGCCCAGCTTTCATGGGAGCCGAGCCTTCAAAAGGTTTCTTCCTGCGGAATCCTGCAAAACTCACTTGGAGAGTGATCCCCAACCGTTATGCAAATGCAGGGCCTCTAGTGTATAAGCTGGTCATCTGTCCCAGTCCCATTTCGGCCCCCCATGCACCCCGGCAACCCGGCATCTAGAGTATCATCAGGCGCCCCTGGTTTCACCCAAAATCCGTCTTCCGAGTCCTCAGCGACGACTGCTCGAAAAAGGGTCCGCGCGGACGCACCTCCTTTTGCCCCGACGAATTCTAGGGTGACTGGCCGGGTCCAGGTTTTTTTTTTTTTTTCGTGTTTTTTCTGGTTATTTTTCGTATTTAGTTTTTCATGGTTTAGGGTAGGGTTATCAGCCTGACTGGCCTCATACGCAAAGTCTTGAACCCAGAGCCCGAAACCTCTCACCACGTTCATTTAAAAAACATCGCCTTCAATGATTCTCCATCCTCATAACAACCCTAGTTCTTAAGAGATCAAAACAGAGCCAGATTCACGAGATAACCAGGTCTAAGCCGCCTGTGCGCAGAGGAGAACTTCGCTCCAGTAACCCTCCGAATAGACCAAGGCGTAGTCCAACAACTCAGGAGGGCGAGTTTCCTGGCTCGGGCGCAGGGGAGTTTTGGGTTCTTTCTTGTGCCCAATTTTCAAACAGGGGATTCTGATACCGATTCTGTATTCAAAACTCGCACCTCCGCATGCTTCACCAGCACCAAGACTCTCGAGTCGGTGCCTTCTTGTGCGCAGTAGTGGATGTGGTGAAAGTCAGCTAAGGTATCCACATCGTGGGAGATGCTGAAGACAGTCGTGTGGGGGAGCGACTGGGTCAGAGTTCCGTACATCTTGATCGTGCTGCTTTTGCTCATGTTACTGGTTGATTCATCTAAGAACAGCATCTTCGGCTTTTGAAGTAAAGCATGTGCAAGAGCCAGACGCTGCCGCATGCCAGGGGAGGTGCGAAGCATCCAGTTGTCTTCGCGATCCAAACCTTCGCCTTGCGGCAGCTCTTCTTCGTCCCCAGCATCCTCCTCTGCTTTGCCTTGTGCCGCCTCTGCCTCCTCGTCCTCTTCCTCATCCTCTTCCTCGTCCTCCTCCTCCTCCTCCTCCTCCTCTTCCTCCTCTTCTTCCACGCTCTCCGACAACTTCTTTGCATCTAGCAGTCGTTGGAGTGAAACCTGCTCGAGAGCTGCCAGGATGGCCTTATCATCGTAAGAGCCCTCAGGGTGCGGATAGCAAACTGCCGAACGCAGGGTGCAACGTCTGGGCAGAACTGGATGCTGGGGTATGAAAAGGACCTCGCCTTCATCCGGCATATGCAGGCTGCACAGCTGGATGTGCGGCCAAACTCGTGCAAACACCTTGAACAGCACGCTTTTGCCACAGCCCTCTTCTCCAGATATCAGCACATGCTGGCCAGCAGGCACATGCAAGTTCACGTCACGCCACAAAATTTCACCGTCCGGCAACCGGACCTCAGGGAATTATCTTATGTTGTATAGTTTCACATTTGGTGGGGACACGACATAGCTGGAGTTAGATATCTGGAATTCCCTTTGAACCTCTGCCACACGCGCAGAGAAAGAACCGTCGGATGGATTGCTGCAGGCGGGCACCGCTGCCTTCCTCGCATGTGCTGTGGCTCACGTGTCTGATCGAACTGCCACTGCTTTTCTGGAATGTGGGTGTAAAAGGTGCGGCTGCAACATATACATATATACATATATGCATATATGCATATATGCATATATGCATATAAGCATATAAGCATAGATGCATATATACATATATACATATATACATATATACATATATACATATATACATATATACATATATGCATATATACATATATGCATATATACATATATACATAAATACATATATACATATATACATATATGCATATATGCATATATACATATATACATATATACATATATACATATATACATATATACATATATACATATATACATATATACATATATACATACATATATATACATATACATATACATACATATATACATATATATACATATATATACATATATATATATACATATATACATATATACATATATATATATATATACATATACACATATACATATATACATATATACATATATACATATATACATATATACATATACACATATATACATATATACTTATATACATATATACATATATACATATATACATATATACATGTATACATACATACTTTTTTCTGAAGCCATACCGTGAATCGACTGTACGTCAACTTCAAGACACGGCGTTGGCGCAGCAAAAAGGAGGCTTACCCTCTGCAGACGCTTTAGAACTGTCTTTGCAAACCTGCATTATAGATGAGATTATCCTGTACCGGGGTTTCTTCATAAGACATTCTGCCAAGCGTCTCTTCCCACACAAACTTCTTTGCATGGTGTATCCAAGTTTGCCGGGGCTTCCCAACTCGCTTTTTGCGAATATTCGATTCTAGTGGCACTGCTGGGCATAAACGATACCTGTCTTAAAGGATCTTATGACCTAAAAGCTTAGCCCGTCGTAACTTATGGAATTCACTAAATAGTAGTATCTTTCGTTGGTCGTCCCGGCTTGGAAATGCTATCATACTTGCTTCTTCCAGAAGCTTTGCATTTGTATTTGTACTGTCTATATAGGTGTGAGCTTTGTTTAAAATCTTGCGAATGCCCCTCATTTGGAACGCATTGAGCTTCTTTTGCCATAGCAGTGGTTAAGAATATATATACACATATACATATATACATATATACATACATACATACATACATACATATATACATATATACATATATACATATAGACATATAGACATATATACATATATACATATATACATATATACATATATACATATATACATGTATACATATATACACATATACACATATACATATATACATATGTACAGATATACATATATACATATATACATATGTACATATGAACATATGTACATATGTACATATATTGTGAGCCGGTCAAAGCAGACATGCTTCATGTGCACAGCTGCCAGTGCTGTAGAGTTTCCGTTTGCATGTGTAGTTTTGCAATTCGTTACAATGCCAATTTTGGCTCAAGTATCGAGCTAGACTTGTGCCTTTGAGCACGGTGGTTTCGTACAGTAGCTCTTAGGTTGCTGCGCGGTCCGACCGGACGCACTTGGGCGTAGGTTGCAGAGAGCGTGAACCCGCGAAGTCACAAAACAGCGTGACCGCCTGCGTTTGCTTTGGCTTAAGGCAAGACAGGTTGGTCGACTTCACAATTGGGGGCTGTTCTGGGAAACTGTTCAGCTCTTGTGCCTACGGCCCGAGTGGGCAAGCATTGCATTGCTTGTCCGTCGCGGTCCGTGTCCTGTACGCGTGGACTGAGTTCCACGCTTGCGGCCTGATATCCAAGGCGCGGCGTTTCGCCGCGCGTCGCAGCCATGTCCTCAGAAGTGGCGGGCCAATGTGAGCCGTGCCCTTGCAAACCGGACCGCGCACGCCCGGCATGGGAACAGTGCGGCCCACGAGGCGCAACTGATCCAACTCGTAGGGTCAGAAATCTTTGTGGTGGCTGGCACCAAGCAAGGTGCTGCGCATAAGGTGTGGGTCCACCTATGCGAGGAATCCGCAGCTTGCGGCTGCCGTGCCTTTCTCGCTGAGGGCTGATGCGGGCATTGCGATGCCGCAATGGATGCCGCCAAGGCCCAAGGACTCATGCTCGCTAGCGCGGCCCGCAGTGGCGCGAGTGGCCCACTCACAGACTCCATCAGGAGCACGACGTCAGGTGCTCTAGCCAAAGGGAGGGTTGCTTTGGGGTTGGGGAGCAACGAAGGATGCTTCTCTCAGCTGGCGGCGAAGAGCCGCGAGATCTCCTGTTTTCAGGGGCTCGCGGGTCGTGTCCACCCTCAGGAGCTGTGAGCGACGCCCTCGCGCGAGCCGATTCCGGACAGCGTGCTACCGCAGCGGTCACCGGCTGAATTCCTGACGGGCGGGCCGTACATCCAGGCCGCCCAAGACCTCCTCGGAGCTGGGGCGGCGACGTGATCTACGTCCGCGCCCACAGCCTCGACTGCGCGTTGCGCATCGAGGCGCTCGAGGCCTCCCGCAGCAAGGGGGCGGGCGTGCGAATCGTCGCCGACGTTAGTCAATGCCAACGCACTAAATTGCAATGGCAGGCCCTGAAACGCCTGTCACCCGCTGGAGCGGAAGTGCGGCTGGGCTGCGGCACGTCAGTGCGCGGCGCGTACGCCCAGGACGGGCGAGGAGCCAGGGTAGGGGCCTCCATACAGGGGCTCCACCATGCAAAGGCTCTTTGCCTACTGCGGCCGGATGGCGCGGCGCTGATCGCAGCCTAAACTTTACAACGAGTTCTAAGGCCAACTCCGAAGCGGGCTTAATAAGGCTCGAGGTTGCCAGGTCGCACCAGGGCCGTCAACGCCTACGTGGAGGAGTACCAGCGCATTGTGACCAAACCGCGACCGCTGACCCTCGACGAGGCGGCTGCTAGGCGCCCACAGCTGGAGCGCGCCAATAGCTCCAGTGGCAAGGCTGGCGCTGCAGCCCCAACACGCCAGATGCTTCCCCCGGGAATCGAATGAGGCTGCGGCCAGGCGGCGCGGCGTGGTTTTATCCCACGCAGTGTCTGGTGGTGTGGCACTGCTTGTCACATCGCTCGTTTCAGGGCCTGGCGTCGCAACACGGCACGTTGCTTCGCCACCCCTTTTTCTTCAGTACTTTTGCTTGCGGGCGCAACGTCGCGGCAGGATGGAGTCCTGCCCATTTTGCGTTCCCCGCCACACAGTTGGCCGCGCAGCATTGCCTGTGGCCCATCGAATCCGATGGCGCTCTTTTGTATTCAGCTCGCGGACCGTGTCCAATAGGGAGGTAGCCGTAGCCGTAGCTCTGTAGTTTTCGTAGTTGTAGTGCACCATAGATTTCGTACCGGCAGCCTAAGACCAGCTCGTGAGAGCAGGAGCCTCGCCTTCCAGCACAAAAGGTGAGGACCGCTCGGGACCGGGGATGACTAAGACTTGTTGAGGGTTGCTGTCGTCGTGCGTTCGTTTGGTAGTGCGGGCTTGCGTCCCGGCCGCATACCAATGCTCATGACGTGCGGACTACCATGGTCGCACGCGACACCCTCGCCCTTCCCCTTCGAGCCTTTGTTTGAGTGCATGATGCACTTAAAGCTAGTGGTGAAGATGAGCTGGGAGCCTCGGCTGAGGGGCGAATGTGAGCCGGTCAAAGCAGACATGCTTCATGTGCACAGCTGCCAGTGCTGTAGAGTTTCCGTTTGCATGTGTAGTTTTGCAATTCGTTACAATTCCAATTTTGGCTCAAGTATCGAGCTAGACTTGTGCCTTTGAGCGCAGTGGTTTCGCACAGTAGCTCTTAGGTTGCTGCGCGGTCCGACCGGACGCACTTGGGCGTAGGTTGCGGAGAGCGTGAACCCGCGAAGTCACAAAACAGCGTGACCGCCTGCGTTTGCTTTGGCTTAAGGCAAGACCAGGTTGGTCGACTTCACAATATACATATATACATATATACACATATACATATATACGTATATACATATATACATATATACATATATACATATATACATATATACATATAGACATATATACATATATACATATATACATATATACATATATATACATATATACATAGACACATATATACATAGACACATATATACGGATATACATATATACACATATACATATATACAAAAATACATAAAGACAAAAATACATATATACATATAGGTGGCAAAAAAACACGCTCACCATAATCTCCGAAACGCGCACCAAGAGCACCGAAACACGCACCAAGTTAGCGTAGCCTGCACCAAAGTCAATCTGAATGCACCAAATCAAACCCAAAACACGGACATGTAGCAGTAGTACCAGCGCAGCCAGCTGACTGCTCATGCCAGCATAACGAAAGACACGCCCGGGGTTTGAGTGTTGACGAGTCGAACGAAGGAACTTCGTGCCACGATTTTAGCTCACCTTCTACCCATACGTGGACACACCAGTACACCTCGACATTCAAAGCGAAGGAGCCTGCACATCCACATTCGCATCCGACTAGGTTTAGGGATCTGGGAGTCGAGTTTTTTTTTTTCGGGGTTTGGGGGGGCGTGTCAGATGTGAGATGAACTGGCATGACATGATATGATTATGATCTGACTGCGTGACTACAAGGCACCAACCAGACGGAGCGCGTCCAATCTGAACTGACAGAAGCTCGACACAGGCTTAACACATCATCATGGAGCCTCCCGCTCGACCACATCAGGCGCAGGAGCCTGATGTTGGAACGGTTGCAGGGAATTGCGCGGTGGCCCGGACCCGACGCGACCTGACCCGACCTCACATGATCTGACCTATCCCACGCGAACAGAGCGGCTTAACACGTCACGCAGCCTCACGCGCGAACTCTTCCGGCGGCTCGCGCACACCAGGCACAGGAGCCTGGCAGGAGCGGCAGGGAGAGGTATTCATGTTCGATGGCCCTATCTAACCTAACCCATGTAAGTCAGCCTGTCTGCAGCTCAGATGAGCCGCGCAGCATGACTCGAACAAGCACGATCTGATCTGA